GCCCTGGACCCTGGTGGGAGCCAGGCAGCGGGAGCGCCTTTGGACCCCCACCCCTGCCCTGTGATGTGGAGAAGTCCACTCACCTCCCCACGGGGCCCTTTGCACACCCCGTTGTCCACTGCGGCCTTGCCCTGCCCGCTGCCTGGGGCACAGTTCCTGAGAGGCCTGCAGGGGAAGCAGAGCCCAGACCCAGAAACTTTGTTTCCTGGTTGGTCGGGGGCCAGGGGAACAGGTGGCAGTTGCAGGGGTGAGGAGGGTCATGGCCCGAGGCGGCCAGCCCGCCCAGCCCGCCATGACCTGCAGATCCGCGCTGCGGCCGACTCCCAGCTTTCTGCTTTCCGGGGACAGCAGCCTGGGCAGTGGCACTGCCTGGGGTCAGCAAGGACAGGGCCATCAGTGGGTGCAGGACTGCAGAGGGCTCTGCAGATGGAGGCTGTAGAGGCCACTGCCGCCCAGGCGTCCCTCAGGTCCCGGGACCACCAGCAGGACCGCCAGCGTCCGCCGTGGCCCAGGAAGCCCTGTCCCAGCACAGGACGCCCGGACCGTCTTGCCTTTTGTCCATCCCTGCAGATGCCTTTGACAATGACTTGATGCACAGGACTCTGAAAAACATCGTGGAGGGTAAAACTGTTGAGGTCCCAACCTATGACTTTGTGACCCACTCGAGGTGAGCAGTGGTTCCTGGGAGGCACTTAGGGCGTCCCCTCCAGGGCTTACAGACCGCCCGCAGCAGGCCTGACCCATGGGTGTCTGCGGGCACCCCTCTCCCACGTGATCTGTTTCCTCGGTGAAGTCAGTGCCCGGGAGACCCTGTCTCCAGCAGGGCCGCTCCCTGCTCTCGCCCGCAGGTTACCGGAGACCACGGTGGTGTACCCGGCGGACGTGGTCCTGTTTGAGGGCATCCTGGTCTTCTACAGCCAGGAGATCCGGGACATGTTCCACCTGCGCCTCTTTGTGGACACGGACTCCGACGTCAGGCTGTCGAGAAGAGGTGAGGCGCTCGGCCGCCCTGCCCCGGGCCGAGGCTGGGCGGTCGTTTCCGGGTCTGACAGCGGCCTCCTGGCTCCTGTCGCTGCAGTTCTCCGAGACGTGAACCGCGGGAGGGACCTGGAGCAGATTCTGACCCAGTACACCACCTTCGTCAAGCCAGCCTTCGAGGAGTTCTGCCTGCCGGTACCGCCTGCGCTTAATTGGGAATGCCTGCCCTTTCTCCCTCCAGAGACACGATGCCTGGTTCTGGGAGCTGGTGGGGAGGCACGCGTCTGATTATAAATGGAGATTCAGCTAGTGCCCAGATGCCCAGGGCGTGCTCAACTCTCCAGGCCTCCTCTGCCTAGAAAAGCCACTCCCTGTATCCTCACCGGCTCCCTCCTGCTTCAGGCCTTGCCCTGGTCACCAGGATGGCCTGTGCAGGATGACCCTGAGACCCCTCTGCTCCCGGCCTCGCGCCTGTTTTCTGTGTTCCCAGGGGGCTTCTCGTCATCTGACCGCACGGGCTATCTTGCTTACCCCCTTTGCTGGCCTCCGCCTCCAGTCCACTCAGCAGTGAGCCGGCCAGGGGAGCCGCGCCTGGCCCTCCGGCAGGTCCACTGCCCGCAGACACAGCTGCCCAGGCTGTCCCTCCTGCCTCGGTGGCGCATCTCGTGTAACATGTCTCCTTGGCCCACGTTCACACGCCAACACCGGACGGATCATAGGTCCGTCCCCCAGGCCGCACCGTTTTCTCCTTCCCTCCCTGTGCTTTGCCTGGTTCGGGTGTGTCCCCAGCAGCCCGCCCCCCCCCCGCCCCCCTGCACAGGGCTGGCGAGAGTGAGCGATGCCCGGCATGTTGGCAGCTGCACTGCGGCCGCTCTTGTGTGCAGTGCACCTTGCGCACCTGCCACTCGTCCCGGGTTCTTGCAGAAGGGCCCTGATTGCAGAGGAAGCACGTGGTGGAGGATGCCACGCTCCACTTGGCCCAGTGAATTAAGTTGTTAGTACAGCATAGAGCAGAGCACAGCATTTCAGAGATGCAGGAGATACCAGTTCTCCTGGCTGCCTGGCCGCCTCCTGCTGCGCTGCCTGGAGCACCGTCCTCACACCTCGCTGATAACTGCCCCTTCCCTGCCCCCTGCCCCTCCTGCCTGTGACCCAGGAATCCGGGCACCTCAGGCTTGCTCCTCTACTGGATGGCACCTTGCGGGTGGGGTGGACAGATTCTTACAACATCCTCCTTTTTGTGTTGCAGACAAAGAAATATGCGGATGTGATCATCCCCCGAGGGGTGGACAATATGGGTAAGAACCAGGCCTGATGGGCTGCCCGACCATCTCCGCCCAGAGCCCCAAGGCAGGCACTGCCCCATCCCCCTGGTCGCTGACAGTTACAGTATGTCAGTTACACCTCAGTAAAGCTGGTGGGAAAATAGCTACTAGTACAGAGAAAACTGTTGAGGAGCCACTGTTAGCAGGAAGTCCTTTAACCAGGCTCCAGGCCAGCGGAAGTCCTCGCTGACCCAGCCGGCAAGTCTGGTGCCCAGGCCTGGACGTGTGTTCTGTCTGCTGAGACCCGGTGCCGGACAGACGGGCGACGGGGTGGAGGGCGCGTGCGGCTGACGCGCTCTTGTCTGTCTCTGCTGCAGTCGCCATCAACCTGATTGTGCAGCACATCCAGGACATTCTGAACGGGGACATTTGCAAGTGGCACCGGGGAGGGGCCAACGGGCGCAGCTGCAAGAGGACGTTTCCTGAGCCCGGAGACCACTCCGCGGTGCTGGCCGTTGGCAAACGGTCGCACCTGGAGTCCAGCAGCCGGCCGCACTGAGGGGTGTGCCTCCCGCAGGCCCAGAGGCGCCCGCCTGCGCCCAGACACCTACTGCTTCCTCTCCACCTCTGGGACGGTTCCGTGAGTCAGTGTCCTCAGTACCGGGGCCCTGACGCGGGGTCCCACCCAGTTCGATGGGGTGGGGGCTGTGTCTGCACCTGCTCCTTCGTGGTGAGGAGGGTGGGCGGGCCAGGTCACTGAGAAATGCCACAGGGCGCGTGGCAGCCTGTGATGCTCACTCGGGGACACGGGCCGCGCTGTGGGGGAAGGAGGGACGTCTGGACACCGTGCTCAGTGTTCTGACTGGTCTCATGGCGAGTTTCTCTGGTGTGATCAGTTCTCACATGTGCGACTGAAAGTGTGAAAATACCTCCCCTTTTTATGTTGTACGTCCCATGTTTTCTGTGTTATTCTGTTTCCTAACACCGTGTAGTGAGCTAGTAACCCCGTTTCGTGACCCGCAGTGGGTGGTGATCCAGCCTGCGACAGGCTGACCTGACCTGAGGAGCCAGCGAGGCCTTTCTCCTGGCCTGGGCTCCAGGGCAGGGCGGGGAGGGAGCCTTGGGGACAGGCGTGTGTTTAACCAGCACCAGACAGGAAGCAGGGACACCCACTCACCCAGCCCCTGCTGGGGACTGTCCACCAGGGACCCTGAGCCCAGGGTGCTGGCCCATCTCTAGCCAAGGAATATGCTGGACTGGAGGCATGAGCGAGTGCTGTGGCCCAAAGCCAGCCGCTCTCCCTCCCTCCCCGAGTCCATGCCCCAAGCCCCTGTGGCCTGTGTCGTCCTGGAGTGTCTTCCTTCCCACGTGGTGGCCACGTGTTAAAGGGGTCCTGCCCCATCACTGTGCTAACCTGCGCGGCACTGAGTTCTTTCTATGGAGTAGTAGCTGGTCACACAACTGACATCGGCTGAGCCGTGGCCGGCTGCTGGTGACTCACAGTTTCGTCAAGCGTGTTGTGCCCTTCAGGGAGAGAATCAATAAATAACCAATATGAATGCCAGTGGTCCCTTTTTATTATTTCTTAAAATATATTTATTGATTTCAGAGAGGAAGGGAGAAGAGAGAAGCATTGATCGGCTGCCTCCTGCACGCCCCCTACTGGGGATGGAGCCCGAAACCCAGGCATATGCCCTTGGCCGGAGTGGAACCTGGGACCCTTCAGTCCGCAGGCTGGCGCTCTCTCCACTAAGCCGAGCTGGCCAGGGCAGTGGTCCCTTTTTAATTACACCAAAAGGCGAGTTCAGGACAAGGAACAGATGACACACCTTGACTGTCTGCTGCTCGTTAGCCTCACGGGTGTGCAGTCAGCGAGAGGGCTGGCACAGGTTAGCGCCTCACTCAGACTGAGGCCCTGCCCGGCCGGCCCAGTGGCTAATGACACTCAGCTGTCCGGGCAAAGCCTAGAGGCCTCTGGGGCCGAGGCTCTAGCCCGGGGCCAGCGGGTGCTCGGGAGGGAGGACCAGGCGGGTCTGTTAGCAAGACCGGCCCGTCCGGTCTGACCCTCCGGTCTGACCCTCACGCCCGTCACTCCCACTCCCGGCCATCTCTCCGTCGCCGAGCCCCACACTAGCCACTCAACACGTGTCCCCATGTAGGGCCCCGGGATTTGAGGGCACAGCATGTTCATTATTGTTCGCATAAGAATAAGGTGAAGGGGACCAGGGGAGAGCCCCCGCCCGGCCTGGCCGGCTCCCCCAGGCGTGTCCCGGTCCCGGCCCCGGCTGTCTCATGCCAGTCCTGCTAGTGTTTGCGGATCAGGATGTCCCAGCTCTCTTTCCAGCGAAGGGCCTGGAGGTCGCTGGGTGACAGCGACTTGTCCCCGTAGGTCAGTGGGCGCAGCATGTTAAACATGTGGCAGGCGGCCGAGTACCATGCCACCACCAGGGCGCCGAACAGGCTCCTGTGGAGCTGGGACCTGTGGGCGCCAGAGCACAGTGCACGTGTGACCGGCTGGCTCTGCCCCACTGTG